AACTAGCTCGGAAAATAGCATTTTTTTCAGGCCTCGTTTTAAGTCTAAAAAATGCGCTCCCGCTGTGGCGAAACGCATATTTTCACAAAAAAACACGGACAGAAAACGACACGTGCGGTTGTTTCTCAATCATCTCTGCACTCTCCCAAACATGCAGCAAGGTGGCGCTTCTGCTCGTCTGATGCTAAAGAACTAGTCTGGGCAGCGGCCAGCCTGAGCAAGCAAGGTCAAGGGGGACTTTCGGCCACTCCAAAAACGGGTGGTTTGGCAGGAAAGGGCTTGGGGCCCACAAGAGACAACAAATATGAAAGCCAAGAAGCAATGCAGCTTGCGATCGTTTCGACCATGTGCTGCCGGGGTTTATGATGGTGGGCCGAAGGGAGCTGTCCTGAGCGAGGCTGGCAAGTGTCCAGTCTCTACAAATCGTGCTGCTTTCCTCGTACAAAGCAGTCAGGGGTCGGGGTCGAGCTTCTCGAATTGCTCATCCAACTGCTTGGGAACCTGGGTGTAGTCACGAGCCTCCAATGCCTCCTCCACGGCTTCCGGTTGCGATGGTGGCTGCTGCGCGCTTTTGGGCTTGGCCTCGGCCTGGGATGGCTCCGACGGCTGCGACGCCTGCGGCTCTGGGGCCTCTGCGGCTGTTGCCTCCAGCAAGTTCAAAGCCCGCTTAGTTGTTTTCTCATGCACGGACCCTCCTAAACCCTCAGCCCACAAATCCTAAACCCCGCAATCCTCAAACCCCAAACACCACCAAAACGCTAAAAAAACGCCCTAAACTCCAAAAAAAACCATAAACCCCTAGACCCTAAACCCTAAGCCCTAAAGCCCTAAACATAAACCCCCTAAGAGCCTCGAACTCGAGATCCGGGGCTTGGCTTCGGAGTGGCAACGCGACTGCATCTTTACTGGAGCTGGGCGCAACTGCCGAAAGCCTCCTCCGGCTGCTCCGAGGTGCTGCCGTTTGCACACACAGCATTTTGGCTTCGTAGTTTGGAGCGTAGTCCCTGTCCCTGCAGCTCTCTTTTGATGAGGAGCCACCAAGGGACTGAACTGCACCCGACAAGGCCCGCCCCATGCCACCGAAGAATCCTCCACTTTTCTTGGCCTTTCTGTAGAACTTTTCCGTTGACGCCATCTCGTCACCGCGCAACATAATGTCGTCCATGCACTCTGATTGCCTTTGCAGCATTTCCTGGAAGAAACATCGAGACGAGCATGCTAACTGGAAGTGCCAAACCTTTTGAAGGCCTTAGACCTTAGACATCTGCGAGAGAAGGGACACTCGGGACAAGCTTCAATGTCCTGCAGCCTCAACTGCACCTCCCGGGCCTCCTGAGCGGGTGGCTGTTACTTCCCCTAGTCACAATCCCGTCCACGTGTCCATGATGCTACAATCATCTACGAATGCGGCATCTTTTCAGGGGCAGAGTGTTGGGTGAGTCGTACCATGGGAATGTCGGGATGTGAACAGGTCTCCTGTGCCTCTGCTTGTCATAGGTAACCAGCGCTCAAAACCGGCGTATCGGATCAACATCTGTGTCCGTTTCTGCTTGCGACGAGCGCTTAGACTTCGACTTCGAGGAGAGCCTCCGAAAAACACTCGCTCGGGGGCGCCTGACTGGGTTTTTCGGGTACGGACGTAGAATTTGTACCCCGCTCTTCGAAGCCCAATCTTCTCCTTCCTCTGGGCGTACGGGACGGTTTAGGTAATCCACTTCTCTTCTTCCCTCGGGTCAAAGGGGCGTTCGAGGCCGCCCGGCCAATATTGCAGGGTCCCCGCACAGCTCGTAGCGCTTTCGGAGGGTTTGGTGAGTTTGGTGACACGACACGAGCAGGTCCCCCCACGTACCAAAGATTTCAAGATACATTTCAAGACACTGCAAGACATCAGGCATGTGGGTTCCCTCGCTACAGCATGCATGGACACCTACAGGGCTCATCTCCGGTCGCAGACACTGAAAGGGGCAGAGTCTTGGAGCATCGTCCTAAAGATAAGCAGCAAACAGATCAACACTGGTATAGGATGTTACCGAATGCAGTACACATAGCAATGCTCCACCTCGACTCGGAGACTCGACTATAGACTGAAAGCCGGACAAAAACACAGGAAACGAAATAACCCGGACCCCAAGTACCTGAAGTAGCATCCTCTTCCTGCCCCCACTGCCCGCGCGCTCTCCCTCTCTTTTTCCTTGTGAAAGCTTGATGCCACGTCCAAGATGACCCGCCCACCCTCCCTCCCTCCTTCCTTCCTTGGGGCAGGTCCACCATCTGGACCCGCACTCGAAGCGCTCTCCCGTTTGCGAAGCCACGGAGGCCAATGGGTGAGGAGGGACAGTGACAGGCAGTCGGGCGCAGGACCAGTTACAGCAGGTGCAAAAAGAAATCCAAATTTTTCGGCAACAGCAATGAAGTAGTAAGTAGAGTACACCGGAGGATCATCAATACTTTGATGGAGAGCGAACACGATGCTTTGTTCTGCAGTCGGTCGGGCCTCCTTGCCCTGCCTTCCCTCTTGCGAGGGGCGTGACAGCAAACCTACCCCCACTGCTCGCGTCTGTCCGCGTTCTCACCCGCGGATTGTCGGGCAGATTGGCCGTTTCCCCGTATTGAGACAGACCCCAAAACAAATTTCTCTCTCTGTCTCCTTCACTCCATTCCTTCCATCTTCTTCGTGCTTCTGGGCTTCACTCAGCACAAACCTTGGGTCAGCTTCTATGCGTGAGAATGCCGCTAAGTGGACATGTCAGAAATATAATAAACTGCATGACACGCATCAGCTCTTAGTTCACGACGCACTCTCTTTCAGCTATTGCTTCCTTCATTTCTCACCCTCTCTCTCCCTCCGTTCACTGTTGTCGGAAAGCTCGTAGTCGTAGGCTGTCGTAGGAATGTGGTCTGTTTGTGTTGGGGGCTCTACAAAGGCTTTCCCGGTACCTCCGGATGTGAAAGCCTTACGCCACGATGTGACGTTGTCTTATTTTTCCTGTGCACTCTCTCCCTCTCTCTCTGCCGGAAACAGAGCGAGCCAATAGACCTACTGGAATCCCGGACAAACCGTTGAGCTTCCTCCTCTTGGCGGCGTTTCTTCTCTTCCTCGAGACGTCGATACTCCTCCTGTGTGGGGGCGGATCTTTGCAGAGTACATCGCAAGAAATGCGTGACCCTCAACATCCACAATTATCTTGCAAATCCTGGTACCAACTCTGACCATAATTTACCACCGAAACTTGAACATCGTCAACCTTCCCTGGCTACGAGTCCTCCTTCCTTCGCTGCTCGAGCTCTTCGCGCTTCCTTCGCACGACAGCGAAGTCAAGTTGACAGGGAAACTTGCCTCCGCTGGTTGAATTGGGCCATACTGCCTAAGCCGTAAGCCAATGAGGCTAAGGAGCTCCACTTCAATCATGTCGTGCATCGCTTTTACCTGTGGCTGCGATGAGCACAGCAGTGCCAAAGGACATGGACATATATGCAAGAGCGACAGCTACAATTCTAGGGCTTCAACACAACTGAAGAAATAGATAAGTAGCTATGTGTATATACACCCGTGCACATATCACATATAGATGGACAAGAGGAGGGTAGATAGGTAGGTAGATAAATAGATACAGATAGTTACATACAGATATAAACAAATATGTGTGTATACACATTAGTGCACATATGCATATATACATATATGCATATATATATATATATATGTACACACATACATACATACATACATACATACATACATACATACATCTATATACACATGTACAAATGCAAATACATATACACATACACATACACACACATACATACATACATACATACATACATATGTACATATGTACATATATATATATTTATTTATATAATGCTCTTCCCGCCTACATAGCCACGCTCTCACGTGGTTTTTCTACGATTTTGATGCTTCGGGCATCGGAGGGGTTTGTGGGTTTATTGGTTGGAGTTGGAACCGTTCAAGATTTTGCCTTCGCTTCAAGCACATGAAAAGTTTCACTTGAAATCAAGACACGACTTTTTCAATACTACGCCTCTGGTCCTTTACGCGATGGCACAAAGCCACCTTGCAACAAGGGACGACTATTCGATCTTGCCTATGATCCCGATGCCCCTATGAATGGCCCCAAAACTTCAGTGTACAGTAGCCGCAGCACTACTACGGTACTACTATCACCACCACCACCACCACCACAACTGCTGCTGCTGCTGCAGCTGCTGCTGCTGCTACTGCGACTGCTACTACTGCTACTACTGCTACTACTACTACTGCTACTACTGCTACTACTGCTACTACTGCTACTCCTACTGCTACTACTACTACTACTGCTACTACTGCTACTACTGCTACTGCTGCTACTGCTACTACTACTACTACTACTACTACTGTGCCGGTCCGAAAGTTCGTCGCACTCCATGTTG